AATAGCCTTGAGTAGTGAAAGTCAAGAGATTATAGAGAATAACTCGTTATGGTGGAACTTATGAAAGTTGTGCTGTTGTCAGCTGGATTCTCCATACGATTCTGAGCAGAATGATATATGGATGTTGGGGGTTTCGTCAAGTAGGAGCCGAGGCAGGCCACCAGAGCCAAACCCCGTCGGTTCTGGTCGTTCTCTGCCGCCCCTCAAAATTGCGCACTCTCTACGCAACTAAGCGTCTTCCACGGAGCATTTAACTCTGGTGCCCTTTTCTCCGTCATTTGCAAATTAATGTAAGCAAATCGTATTTCATTATGAAGGTCTTGAAGCATGCATTTGAAGACAACTGCGCAACGTTCAATTTTTTGGTCAGTTGAATGAAATGAAAACCGTGTTTTTTGTTTTCCCCGATTTTAAAGTCAAATCGAAGTTTTAAATTCCGTTTTTCCTTTCATTCGACAGGAAATCTTCAATACAGCTGACAACTGTGCGACTTTCAATTTTGAACATCCAGCCAATTACTTAGAGGACGCACCAAAAAACCCGTATTTTATTTTACGACTGTCTAAAAATTACTGGCGGCTAGACTATCTCAACCTTAAGATCATTCCGTTTGCAATATTGCGTTGTAGAACGTAAACAACTGCGCAACTTTCAGATATCATGAAATTTGAGGGAAAAATCTAAGGAAACATGCAAAAATGATCTTTTGAAGTCGTTTTTTGTTCTAAATTAAGGAGAATGATTCTACTTTCAATCTCATTCTCAGCTCTTAACTGATTGAGGACACTACCAATGCATCTCACTGACCACTCTCATAATCCCATAAATCTCTTTGTTTTTCTCCGCGTTTCCGCCATTTTCCGCCCTTGGTTGGTCCCAAAGAGAAAAATGTATGCAATCAAAGCGCGATTCAAAATTCAAATTACTGCTCAAGGATGTAAGAGTGTCAAACAGGTTGAAACACGTTAAATCATGTCAATATTGTTCACAATTTCACTTAAAAAGACGATTCTAGCTTCACTTTTTTGGAGGTATATGCACGAGGAAGGGAGACGAAGAAAATGGCCATTGATTTCTTTCATTCCTCAATCTTGCCCTAGTTGTTTGAGTTTATAATTCTATGGTGACTGCGTCAAGTTCAGGAATTTGACGGCTGAGATTTTCAGCGATATCGGTTTTCGGATGAGGAGCTACGCAAATATTGATGTTCACTGAATTCGAATATGTCAAGGCGGGTGCTGCTTAAATGTATGTGTGATCCACTTGTATAGCAGAAAGTGCCATAACGCTATGAGTGTTAGAATAATGGGAATTTCCCCGTTATTGAACAAAAAATTTAGCGTTTCAATTCTTTTACTACTCATGGTAATGGAAACAATAACTTGCTGGGCTTCTTGCAGCCTGCGAGCCCAACTTTTTCTTTTACACCAAAGCTCTCGGAGCAAAATTCTGTCAAACAACTTACTAAATATACGATATTCTTTCGAAAATTCCGAGAAGTTTTCAACGTTTTTCAACGCTAACTAGACACTTTTTCTTGATATCGTGATTGCTTTGTAAGCCTGCTCATCCTGTTACAAACAGGTTTTCATTACTATCTGAATTTTTTGGTTATCGCAATCTGCCTAAACTTTTACTAAGAAACGATCTGGGCAAAACAATGCTCTCACATTCGTAAACAACTTTAGAGAAAGAATGATTCCTTAGTGAAGAAGAATAATACGCATTTCATCAAGTGTTGCAAGCTACAAAATTGCGAAGAAGGTTTTTTCTTTTCGATGTTCAGCCCTAACCCGAAGACGCAGAAAGGGGTACTGGGTTAAACGTTGAAATGAGGAAATTTTCCGGGCAACCTATTAGCTTAAAACAGTTGATCAAATTACCTAATTTAATGAGTATTACCACATCGACTAGAGATCATATGTAAAAGATGGAGATTTAATTGAAACTTCAAAAGAAAAGCCATTGCAAATGCTGTATGAAGTGGATAGGTTTCATGTTGTTAAGATCAAATGGAGCTAAAGCTTTGCACATGCTTAGCGCTGCAGATATCAAGGCAAAAAGGGCTACCTGGGCATGGGCTTTTTCAAATTATTGCTCGTAGAGAAAGCTAAGATACCTCGAGGTAATGAAAGCCTAACTAATTCAGTGGGAGACAAGGCGTACCACTTGCTCAAGCATTTTCCACAACTATCGTCCATAGCTGTTTGCTGTTGAAAACGATATTCGCAACAAAGCGTCCTCATCTTCAAAACTCTGGCTTGACGCATAATGCAACATTTTTTTACTAAAGTGCATTTATGAGGCCAAGAGCTAATACAATAATTTTCTCAACTTTTTTGGCTACTCAATTTGGCATGAATTTGAAAATTCGCTCAAATTTTTCTTCATATTCTAATTAGCTTAAAGCCCTCAAAAATTGTGTGAATCATCAAAAGGCAATGTATAATTTGGAAGAGGATGACATTAAAGAAAATAGATAAAGTAGTTTGAAGTAACAAAAATTTCCTCTACAGACAAAATAGAAGTAAGTTTCATACTTAACATATTTACGAGCATAACCAGGTATGATTTTCGAAATTTTGGAGAACACTGAGATTTATGGTATTTGCGTTTACCTAAAGTATTTGTTATGAAGGCATAACAGGGAGTACATTGGTAAAATGTGGACCTAACTGCGAGTGCCAGCATAGGAAGAAATGTTGCTTGCAAATCTATTGTCCGCGGTAGAATTGAACATAGGTCGCTTCATTAATCACGCCTTGGCGTATACCACTGCGCTAAAAAAATGCAGCTATTCGACATTCCAAAGCTTTACTGGTGTAAGAGAGATTTCAGGACATGATTTTTATAACATGTTGCGCTATGTGATAACTTGACTTAACGTATTGTGCATGCAACGACCGATATGTCGTTACCAACGCGCCAGCCTGATGGCGAGTAAACTCGAAGTAACTCGCAGTTAACCCATAAGTTTGGTGGCAGTTTAAAAAGGAGCAACTGTGAGTTCATAACGAGTTGCGATGACAAGATGAGATAATGCTGTCAGAAATAGCAAAGCAGACACGCAGTGCTCATATTATCAGAAATACTCCATCGGACTTTTCCCACGAAATGAGCGCTCCTATCTTTCTCTATGCCGTACGCACCTTCGCCGTAACAACGTTTGAAGTAACTCGCAGCATCTCGTTTTTTAACTGCTCTCTAGTTTAAAAAATTTAACTCATAGTTAGCTCTGAGCTCGCTCAAAGTCAAATTATTTATTTTTGGTTTTCAAAATTTTCTTCATATTCTAAATGTTCTAGTGGTCTTACCATATAAAAATTTTCTGGAATTTCTGCTTTATTCCACAATAGCTGTGAAACTCGAAGCCGACAGTTAATCCGCAGTATCTCACAACTCAACAGTCAAATTACTACCACCTAAGATATCCATTTATGCCTTTTATCAGCTTTTTGCTTTTGTAACTGCTTTCGTATGTTACAGCACTCGACATCTGTTGGTTACGAACGAAAAGGTGATTTTCGTTACGCAAAAAGGTCGAGTTGGACAGTGTGATAAGAAGCTGGGATCTCTCAACCTTAACTACGCCCTCGTTGATGTTAACACAGTTGTTCCAATCAATCCTGTGGCAATATCCAACCGACTGGAAATTCAATGTTGGTCAAGATATTCAATTATTTTGTGGCATTCATTTTTGAAAATTTCAGCAGACAGCATATCTATAAACGAACTTAGGAAGGATGAGCTGTCTTGGGTAGTCGATCCACGACAGGAACCTGGAACTGTACTTTATAAAGTTCGTATTTGGTCAGCAGTTATTGAGAAAGTGTTGGAAATTATAATCTAATAGTGTTAGGGGTTTAGGTTTCGCTTTACAAAGAAAAGCTGTTTGTTGGTGATGCTCATACAGCTGTAACAACACTTACCAAGTTGATTTTGCCACCCGAGTTGCTTCATTCCTGGTCCTCTGCACAAAAATTTGATGCAAACATCGCTGGTATGTTTCACTTTGCTCCCCTAAGTCCATGATTGATCTTCCCTTGTCAAACTAAAGCACTTTCTTTTCAAATGTTTTAGCTATCAACGCATGGATGTCCTTCAATACCAGCAAGACTGGACTTCAGGCACCTTTAAAACCTCCTACTGTGCCAACAAATGTCCAGTTGTATGCAACTCAACAGGTGCTTTTTCATAGTTTGAGCTACTAACATCATGGTGTTATTATTTCAGAAAACTGTAGATGGTGCACGGGCTATAATATCATTGTTTTGGTCACCGCCAAA